CCCCAAAACCCCAAAACCCCAAAACCCCAAAACCCCAAAACCCCAAGTTCAACAAGAAGGATTGAAATCTGACTACTTTCTGAAATCTAGCCTTATATTCGGACATATTCCTGTCACCAATGTTGTTAGCTCTTCGCGACCAACTAGAGATGAGGGCGGGATACTTACGGTCATAACTACAGTCAGTGAAAGAACACCGAATTTTAGGCAGCTCGAACCTCTTGCTTTCCTCGGTAAATTTAGATGAAGCGTCACAAGAGAGATAGAGCTTATCACTAAAACCTATCTGGCATTTCTTGAACTCTAAAGACAAAGGAATGGTTGAAGGAACCAGTAAGCGCCTTAGCTCCCTTACTGAGATTATGAACCCAGTGATTTTCAGATCATGTTGCACATTACACAAGTTCTTCAGGACCAGAGGCAAGCACCAGCCTAGCTTAGTACCCTCTTTCCTTGTAACAACTTCTAGCTGGGAGATTTCACGGTTAACCAAAGTGAGGTACTCTGTATACCTCTTCTTGCATCTGGGAAAGTCTTTATTAACCTCAATCCTGCTGATCTTCGGTATCCTTAAGGCCTTAAATTTTGGCATGTAGTACTTCAGGTACTCCTTTTGGCTATAGATGTAGCTGAATTCTTTGATAGCACAGGATCCACCAGCGAGGGCCCACTTATACAATCCTACAAAGACAATCTTCCCAAAAATATCTTCGTTTGCGCTTAATCAGAGCTCAAATTCTCTAAAATCATTCGATGCCTCCTCTAAAATGAACTTTGGTAAGATCTCGGATAAACTCAGAGCTCCGATAGGAGTCTTGGCTTACAGCAGGATTAGTGACACTTACCTGCCTTTGGGGCTGTAGCTAACAACTGCAACGCCTTGGATCCTTGTTCAAATTTAGAGAGGTGGTGGATGATAAACTTCTGAGAGGCATGAGCGTAACACCAGCCGTCACTATGCCCAATAACAATACCTCAGTCATGACATTTTCCGAGAGGAATCATTTCTAGTCTTTGAGTAATTATTATAAACCAATGACTCCGTGCTTATTGGGGTTTTGGGGTTTTGGGGTTTTGGGGTTTTGGGG